AAAAATACTGTAAATACAATTATAAATATTTGGAGATGTTCGAAATTTATAAAGATTCAAAACATTTTACAGGATATTTACAAACTCTGAAATTTCAATTGAATCTCTAGTCCAGCTTACGGTATAAAATAATTGCGCTTTATTAAAAAAAAGATCATAACGTCAATCTTATTCAAAATCACAGAGTTTTTTTTCCATATACAACCTCTATCAGAAACTGACATTTGTTTAATTTCAAGTTTACTTAAATTTAATAAGTCAAAAGCAAAATGTATGGATAATTTTATTTCATGCATATCATGCATTAAACCGTTAATCTTAAATAATAAATTGTTCATAAAACGAGATAAAATATCACAAATAATTTCTATGAAGCTGAAACATTTTCTCTTTTCAAGTTTTTTCTTTCTTCTTTTATTTTTCCCCAAATCTGTTTTGTGTCAAGTCGGCTTTAAAATCATTTTAAAATCATCAAAGTTTATTACACTTTTTAAATACACGTAGTATGTTAATTTGATCAGTAATTTTGAATACTTCTTAATTTTCTACTTATTTGCATACATTAACAAGATCGATATGCATATTATTTACACAAATCATAATTTCTTATAATCTTATTGTTATCAAGCGTGAAGTTTAATCTTGTAAGCTGTTAGCTGTAGTTTTTTAGCTCTTTGTTCCGCTTTGACGCTCAAGCGATCCGGAAGCTGATGCATTTTTGTGAATGCTTTGCGGTGCTGACAAAGCAATTTCCCCCATTTCTTCTCCCAAGTTATCGACCATTGTTGACATACATCACCATTAACTGTGACAACAGCAGAATATGAAAATAATGTGTGTGAGACGAAAACTGGCTTTTAATTTATCGTAATAGCAAACAGAGGTATTATTATTCAATTTTACTTGAGCAAGGAGTATAATTAGCTTTCTTTCTACAGAACCTTGGAATCTGCGGCAGGAAGTGTTACTCTTAACTGTACTCACTTTGATTCAAGTGTAAGGTCAAAATTTGCAGTTTTTTAAATGATGGTTGGACTATTGTTTTTTTTATGTATCAAGCACATTAAGCGAAATATGTAAGAAAGGCTGCGTTATACTTAATATTTGCCTTTAGTGAGCTAAAGAGGATTATATTCCAGTAATAAAAATAATACATATTAGTACTTTAATATCTAATTAGTAGATTAGCTATAACTTATTATTTTAAAGCTTACATTGTAACTAAAATTTAAATTTTCTTTAGCAACACTATTTTTTGACGGAGTTTTTAAATGAAGACTAAGGAAATTAACATTGTTATTGTATTATATAAAACGTATTATTTAAATACGCAAATGTATCCTATGCTTATTTGTAAGAAATAAAGAATGTAAGCAACGAAAGCATAAAACGTATTATTTAAATACGCAAATGTATCCTATGCTTATTTGTAAGAAATAAAGAATGTAAGCAACGAAAGCATTGCTTTTCTAATAAACATTTCTGAATTGAAAAACAAATGATCTGTGACTGAATAAACAAACGTGCAGTAAAAATGAATCTTATTAGAAGTACGCTTACCAGAAGTTATCGGCATTTATAAAATAAATTAACAGTTTCATTTCGCTATGAAAAACACTCTCTCGCGAAACATAGCACCTAAAAGTCATAAATACAAACTACTACACTAGAAAATTAAACCTCGAGTAAATTAATTTCTGTTTACCATTCTTTATAACTATAACATTTGGCCTGATAATTGAACCCCTGAGAAACTGGAGAATATCAATCAAACTTTTAACAAATGTAATATCTTCCCCATCAATTTTAGATTAGTACCTCGAAATATTTTGACAATGGATTGCATGGTGAGTGGAGTACCTTAAAACCCATTCAATTATATTGTTGCGTGCGTAGGGGTTCGTAATGGATTAATTGCGCACATAAGAAATGATAGCTTGATAAAATTTATTTTGCCAAAAGGAGCACTTTACATTTCTGAAATACTCGCACAACTTTGTACAGTACCAGAGAACACAATCATTAGTTATGTTAGCTAACTACTAAGAGAATTAAGCATAACGCAATGCAACGCTCATCTAAACTGCGAAGCTCACACGGAGATATCTCAATACTCTGTACTTGAGTCTGACCTGAGAAACTGATGCTCTCCGCGATCTTATATAGTCTTCCCCCGACCGCCGAGAAATCTCTAGTATCTTTCTCGAAATTACTTTAAAGTATATGAGGGTTAAATACGGTTACAGTTACATATAAGAATCAATTACATTTATTCAATTACAATTATACAGGGACAAGACTAAACTTTTGCCAAACGGTCGCCCATTGTATCGATGTTTTGCAATATCTAGCTAAATTTGGCAACGAAAGTTAATCGCCAGCTTGGCAATAATTCGCCTATTTAGTGAGATAGCCAATTACCTCAAAGTTAAAAAGACTTGTGATCGTAACTTGCTGCAGAGCTTCGTCTCTTTCAAGCGTTTAATGTTACATCATGCAAAAAATAACTACGCAATATTTCACTAAAATTATTTACACACATACGAAACTGGTAACTTTTTATACTGTCTGATATTCGGTCAAATTGTCTTTTATGGAGTCGATACTAATAGGAAGCGTTTTTCATCAAACTATTTTACCTAATTCATTAAACACTTATTTTTCGTATGCAAGCATATATATAATATATATATATGCATGTACTAAAGAGCGAAGCTTGGATGAAAATATCTCGATACTTCATAACTCCAAATATTTGACTATTTCCAAATATTAAATAATGCTACATATATATATATATATATATATAAATTAAACATTGTTTAATATTATCTAATTATTTACTAACATACTAATACAATGTTTTCTACGCAAGGCTGTTACGTTTACTTTTTTATTAATTTATAAAGTTTTCTAATTTTCCTTCTTTTCCTAGGAGATAGGCCAAATCTGTTCCAACAAATAAATTTTTATTTTCTTACTTAGCAGCTTTAGCGCAAATATTAGGCTTTGTCAGTACAAAAAATTACCTATTTTAATTAGTTCTTTGAATTTATCTCTCTCTCACTCTCTCTGTATATATATATGATAAATACCAAGTAATGCAAAATAAAGTACTAGAAATCTACATAGTTAAATTAATAAATAAATGAACTAACATTCAAATGACCAATATTTAATAAATATACAATACTTATCGATGCAAAACTGCATGAGTTGTGTATATAAGAAAATGAATAATTACAGCTTTTAAGGGATGGTGAGAGCAACAGCAAACATCTCTTGTATAGGAACTTAATGAGCGATTTGAAGGATAAATACAGGAAATAAAACCTGAAGGGAAACATAAGTAATTTAATTGCACTGTAAATGGTGCTAATCATTGTAGAAAGTACTAAATTATTTGCTCGCACTGTGGAAGTACCTGGCGTCTCTGAAACTGTGCACCAACAGGGCCTTCGATGCTGCCAAATATGATTACTGTGGGATGACGTAATTGTGAGCAATTATTGTAAACATTGCTCCATAAGCACTTTTCAGCAATGCTGCAAGTAAATGATTTGTTTCCGTTCATGTCTCACTGTTTTCATACCTCAACGCATCATTTTCGCTCATACATTCCCATACAAAAAATGTTTATTTTAGTGAGCTTTATCCACTTTAGGATTGTCAGGCTATATCCTATAAACATAAATATACCCACTGGTTGAAAAGTTTTAAAACTGACAGCATTTATCTTTTCTGATATTAGACATCATAACCTTGTACTGGATTTTATCATTATCTTATATCAGCGTGTCTTAATCTGTAGTTGAAATTCCACGACTTTCAATCTTTCGTCATAGAGAGTAGAAGCGTAAAAATCATCAAGTACAGTATGACTAGTCAAAATCAGGAAATTTAAACTCTTAATACCTAATCGTTATGAAGGACTAACTCTTGTTATTCATTTATGAAAATGAAACCACATATCTACGACTATTTGAGAACTATTTACTCTACAATTTGTTCAAATCATTCAACATACTATTAACAACAGCAACACTATCAAATAAAATTGTTTGCTCTTACCATGGCTCATATAACGACCAATAAAGTTTGTGACTAAAGACGAACTTTGAAAGATGCACAAAAAGCAACATAAGTTAAAAAAGATGGCAATATACTTCCTTTTAAAAAGCCAACATTTTTCTACTTTTTTAAATATATCTTTCGAAGATTGATTCTTCATTGATACATAACATGATTGTTGATATATTCGTTTCATTGTCATTAGTTTTCTTTCTCTTGTATTAAGCAGAGCCTTTAGTGTATCAAGATTTATTTTATTTTATTCCTTATTTATTTATTTTATTCCTTATTTATTTATTTTATTCCTTATTTATTTACATGCACAAACATATATGCAAGTGGAACTCCATTCATCATTTTTATGTTGTGTCTTAAGTATACAAAATCTTTTCTCAATAACAGTTTCATTTCTGTCTTTTAATGTTTGTGCAGCAAAAGTTTATTTATCTGAAAGTTAAAAACGCACCACAATATGTAAACGCACCACAATATTTCGCGAAAGTAAAAAAGAATGACAACTCTAGATTATAACTTTTTGCCGATTTTTAAAAATTATTCTTCAAATTTTAATATAAAAATGAAAATATGGGCTATTTTTAAGTTTTCTTTTTAATTGTGGAATATTTTTATTTTCACATCTCGTATCTTATAGTTAACCAGTTTTTACTAATTTTACCAGAAAAATTATTTTTCTTAATTTCAGCATAACTTTTATCACTAAAGGGTAATTCTGTATAGTACATGGATAGCAAGTTTACAGGAAATTCATTTTGCTTCGTACGCACATTACTTATTCGTACAGTTCTTATTTATTAACTTAATTCAGTATTGTAGGTTGTATAAATAAGTTTTAAACATGAATCTGTAGATTAGCTGTTGTTTTTATTATTCAATGTATATATTCTAAAACAAATATTTTTCCATTTCAGCTTCATCTCTGCACAACTTCTTCGAAGGATCTCTTTGCCTGTGATACTGATGATACTGAAAGGATATAGGGGAATCATCTCATTTCAGCCTTAACATTTTTCTCAGAGTATTATGGGAAGTACAGTCATAAGACTTCTTGTCATGTAAAGTGAACTGTATGTTATTTAACAATAAATTAATTCAAATTATAGATTTCGTGTCTTTTTTCCCTAGGCAGTATATTTTATCTGACGCCTCTACGGTCGAGCTTTTATGTTAAATTTTTAGAAATGATGAAAAAGTCAGTAATGTATAAAGAAAGTCAATTTTTTTACTATTCGCAAAAGTACTTTCTATTCCGAGTGGAGGAAAATTCCATATATGTCCATAAAGACATGAATAATACTGTGTTTATGTTTCCAGCGCACTTTAACATGTTTTGAAATGAAGAATGAAGCAGATATTAGCAATTCTCAAAAGCATACGAAAGGAATCGTTTTCAGATGTTTACTTTAGATTGTCTAAAGCAGCTAAAATAATTACTCCTAAAAATAATGAGATTATTATATAAGTTCTTATAATTTAGACAGAGTTAAAATAATTTTAGAATACTTGGACATATAAGGATTAATTACTTACAGCAACAATGAATAGATTTTCTAATAAAATATCGAGGTGTATCCGTTGCTCAAGAAGGCTTATGAAAATCTTTATTACCGATGAAAGGGAAGTTCTTGTACGCAGCATAGCAATGAAGTATTAATATCCTACCGTTGCCAAGAAAGCTTCTATGACAGGCGAAGAAAAGAACACCTTCTTCCGCAACTATATACCAAATACGATTTTTGAACAAAACTAGAAATTTATTTTATTAATAAGACAATTTAAAATCATTTCTAATTTAAAAGAAGAAGAAGGGCCGCTTTTATATAACGTGTAAAAATGAGAATGCTTTATGAGCCACAGATTTTCATGTAAGAATTCAGAGATATAATGATAAAAAATTATGACAAATTTTGGAAAAATGGCGAAACATAGACCCTTCCCCACATATTTCTGCGCAAGAAATATGGCGGACTCCGACATGTGAGGAACAGGGAATTCCTGATCATTACATTCTCTCATGCCCCTTAACTGAGAATATTCGCATAAAATCCCCACAAACTAAATTCCTGGCATTCCAAAAATTTCTAATTAAAGATAAACATCAGTATCTGAAGTTTCAAAAAATTATGAAACGACTCTTTTAATACGGCCTAGATCTTTGCCAAGTTCTCATACTGCATAAATTTATTGAAATTTTACATGCTATGAATGTGTACAAAAGGACTCCACTTGTGAACTTTATAAACTGTAATAACTTTTATAACTGAAATAACCCATCCACACCTATCTCTTTGGCATTATTATTACAGTTCATTATAACACTGTGTTCTCAGTACTTATTAAATTTACCTCATTCTGTTCATGTGCATATTTTAAATTGTATTGAGACTATATTGTAATCTTTTTATGTCCTAAATCGTTATTTTTAACAAATACTGGATGTGGAGTGTAAGGTGCGTTTGCATGATGTACCATAATAATACCATAATGATACCTTAAGTAAACTCTAGATGAAAGCTTCAATTGCCCATTTCCTCAACTTTTATTTGTAAATTTTTATAAAGCTTCCTTTTTTTTATTATTTAAAAAATTAATGTGGGAAGACACTACCAGTTGACCCATGGTATATCCCTGGCGGCCCCCATATTTTTTACCTGTGGAATTGTTTCAGGAATAAGCTTCATCTAGATTATTTTCTGATCTGTCCAACAATTCAAGGACTAAAATTGTAAAATATTAGCTGGATAATTAAGTTAGATAAAAATAAAAATTCTTAAGTTAACGGAAAATTAAAGGAATTCTTAATTAAGCCTCGGACCGGAAATCTATCGGAGTATGAGTTTCGTGTTCACTATGATTCCCAAATTCCCTCCCAAGGATTCCCGGTTCTGGGTTTAATTGAAATGTAAGGTGTACACTTAAAATTCACGAGATTTGTCAGAATTGAAAGATACCATAAATCGTGAAGTAATACAGATTCATCCTGCAATGTGAGGCTTGTCCATTGATGTCAGCAATCTCTTGCATCTCCTACAGAAATCTGGCGCGTGTTTCTTATAGTCGTACTGTCCATACTATAAGCATTGAAAGACACAAAGGTAGTGAACAGCAAACGCTTCCTCCAGAATGTAATAATATGGAAACAAATAGAGTTATTCAGCATTTTATACGTTATATTAACAGTAATTTCTAAATATTTTACCGTGTTATTAAATTGTAACTTTCTCGTACACTACGCGTTGGTGCTATGAGCAGTTTCGAAAACTGAATCTTTTTTAAATCTTATATTGCATACTTATTTTAATCGTGAATTTTAGTGCTAGAGAATTTCCGCTTTAAATTAATCGAAATTTTACTAAGGTTTATAAAACAGTAATTTTCGCTTTTGCAATAAAACTGAAGCAATGAGAATTTTCTTTAATTTAATACTAATTAATTAAAAAGCTTTTCATTAGTGCCTCCATAAGTTTTAAAAATGGTAAAGTATTTGAAGACTTTCAGTTTAATTTCGGGTTCAATTCTCAAACAAAATAAAATTCTTATTCTTCTTACGAGTTACAAGAAAAACTCTCTTAAAATCAATTCCAAACATATCATTCGGAAATATGACTCCTCCCAGACAAACTAGATACAGTTCTACTTTCAAATGCAAAGTCTTGCAGTTTGCGAAACAAAGGATTGTGCCGCTGCAAGGATTTTTGGTGTTGATGGGAAAGCTCCATACGTTCGTAAAAAGAAAATGAAATTACAATAATTAATAGGCCAAAGAATAAGTATGCTTTGCGTAAAGTGGTAATAAAATGGCCTATCCTACGTATTACGAAATGGGTCTTAGAAAATTTCCAGAATGACAATTGCATCAAGAAACAAGGTTCGTTTATTTTCCTTAAAGTGAGCAAAAGAATGCAAATGAAAGGGAAAACTTCACAGCAACTTTGAGTAGATGTAGTCGATTTATAGCACGGAATAATTTAGTTCTACAAGAAAATACAAAAGTTTCGTAGAGGCTTTCGAGAGAATTGGACAACATATTGATAAGTTTCCAGAATTGCGTTAATTATTATGATTTTAATGACCATAATGATTTTAAAACATATTCTTTTGTCACATATTGGAAATCTGGATGAAACTCCAGTAATACTTAATAAAATAAAATAATTGATGTGAAAGGAACAAAACCGGTTCATATAACAACGACAGGTCACAAAACATGTCACCTCACCGTAATGTTTTCTGCTTAGCGGACAGTGCAAAATTAAAAGCAATGGTTATTTTTTAAAGAGAGACAATGCCGAAATGTAATATCCCGGATGATGTTTCCGTTCACGTTTATGAAAAAGGATGGATAGACGTAAACAATGTGAATTTGCGAATAAAAAATGTTTGGTGAAGGCTTCCTGTTGCCTTAAGGAATGCAGAAAGTGTTTTATATTAGTGCATGCTCAGATCCCATCAAACGGATAATACGAAGAAATTGTTGAAAGAGTGTGGTACAGGCAATGGCTGTTATTCGTGTAGGATTACTGCCATTTAATCAGCCTTTAGATGTATGTATCAATAAAGAATTCAAAGAAAATTTCAAAGGACAGTTTCACATGTCAATGGAGTACATATTAGAAAGTGAAAAAACATTTACAAAAAGAAGCCAAATGCATCTTGCCAATCTAGAAATAGTGTGTGAATGGCAGCAAGAACATAAAAGCATGAAATGAAAATTAATCCCGACATAATTAAAAAGTGTAGTAAGCTAATAATCTATTTAAAAAGTGTAGTAAGCTAATAATCTAGCTGAAACGGAAGATGATTATTTATTTATGGATCAGCGCAATATTGACAGTGAAGATGAAAGAGAATTTGATAATGTGCATAAAGAATGACGATGAATATGACGAAGACTTCATGTATTCCAATAATGAAAATTTTTAAGTTCATAAGCTATATCATTTCTCTTAAAGAAACAGTATTTAAGTGCATGTAGAAATCTAATTTTTGTATGATAATCTTTTCCTTATTTTCACATCTATCGTTTTTATATCCAGCGTATAACGCACCCGTAAATTTCGATCATTTGTTTTGGAAAAGTGCGCGTTATATGTTAGAATATACGGTATTAACGAATGCAAATAATGTAACTTATATATTTCATTGCTGCAAGTGAATGACGTGCTATCAAACAGTGCACGATTAAGTAAATTCCGAGTAGAACGTCGAAAATTCCTCAAAGTTTGCACGACATTATACGAATTTTAAACTGTCAAATTTAAAGATATATCGTACCAATTTTAAATACTATTGATTACTTTTGTTACTTTAGTTAATGTCAGTTTTAAACACACATTATCATCTAAATCAACTATTATCTGGAGAAAGATTTCTAGTCGATAAAATAAAAATTAAATGTAAAATTCACACTTCATCGAAAAAGTTCTGTGTACATTTAGGGAAATTTCATTTGCACACAACAGTCAATATTTTCGCTGACAATATATTTAAAGCTTATCAGTCTGAAGATCATCAACATTTCCTTCGCAGTTTTATGGATTACGTACTGGCTACAAGTCAGTCAACGCACAAGTTTATCTTTCAACAAAATCCGTTGCGATCAGCTTAAAAAGCGAAATAGGATATAAATGAATTATCCAAGGCCGGCAGTATATGTAGCTTCAGGGTTCAAAAGCAGTTAACTTCAGAACCTTAGTTTTGTTCCTTCACACTTATCTGCGAACGTGCTATGAATTTGGAAAGCAACAGAAAAATGCCACCTTCTTCCTTTTGTGAATTACATAGGAAAGTAAAAAATTTTGTTCCTTTTTTTATGAATTTTTATGGATTTACAACGTCAGTGGAAATTCTATTTGAGTTAATTTGTTAATTGTGAAGAATGTGTTTTGTTGCAATACGTAATAAAACGTGTATTCTAATGCAATGCCTGCGCTTAGCTTTACAGCTTTTCTTAAAAGAATCACGATGAGAAATGTGCGCTCAGTCAACCATATTACGCTTATAAAACTCTTACCATCGAGATTGAGTTTTGAGTCAATGATCACATCATCAAGGTTCAGTTTTCAGTTTCATCCTTAAGTAGAAGTTTGTTTATGGTTTCGG